ATGTTCATTTTTGCATTTGGTGGTGGTGGTGGTGGTGGGGGGTCCACTTGCAGGACTTTCATGTGCACCTTCTGCATCAAACAGGCAGTTTTAGTTCACAATAATTAGACTCCAGTCAGAGACACTTGAATTAAAGAAAGTGACCATTCATAGTGAATGGTTTTACTGTTAGATTTGGTGGAAAAGTCTTTTCTGGTTTGAAGGAGCTCTCAATGAATCCAAGCAGCGATGTGGATTCTGCTGAAAGAGCTAATCCACCGAGTACATGACCATTAATCTTCATTAAATCAGCAACACCAAATGGCATGAGCGTGATCCTTACAGTTAGGAAGTGTCAGGTGATAATGTCCGCCGTGTACACCTGAACGAATCTGATTGGACATTACTAGCTATGCAGCTGGAAGCTCAACTTTAGTGCTTAAACTAACTATGCTTCATATTTTATTATTAATATGAAACTTTTTTTTTGTTATTCCAGAGACCAGGTCAAAATGTTTTTCTTACAAATTACAGATTATACTGCATATATAAAAGAGTACTCTAAAAAATATATTGTGATGGAACAAGAATCACTGCATATTCAAGAATTCCTATTATATACTATAACTTTTAGGGGTGTTGCATTTATTCGAATTGAATGGAGTGCACTTTAAATTTTTTCTTTTTATTCCTAATTTCCTGTCTTGGGTTTGAATGTCAAACACAGGCTGGTACAGTTGAGGAAACGTCCCGGAGTGACTGTGGTACAGCTCCAAAATTCAAAAACCAACATCAGTTGGCTCCAGCTCTTTTAATGCTACAACCTTGCACCCACTTTTTGTTCCCTGTTTTTTCTCTCTCTCTCTCTCTCTATCATATATGTCCTGTTGTTCTGACCTTGTTGTCAAAGCTCCTAAAAATCTACAAGTGCCTAATAGCTCTGAGGAATCAGGGTGTGCAGCCAAAAATGCCTTTCAGAAGGTCCCTTATTCTCAGCGCAGGGAGGAAGTGGTGCACTACAGGCCCGAGGCGGCTTACAAGAGGCTATTAGAGGCCTGCGGCAGGATGCCTCACAAATCCAATTAGGAAGAGCTGGGACTGGATCTGGACTGTCTGCTGCTGCCTGTCAGTCAGAGCAGGAGAGAGCAGGTGTCCAGTTACCAGAGATGTGGATCATGAGTGTGTGTGTGTCAGGGTGAGTGTGTCTTTTGCTTGGAGTGTATTTATGTGCATCGTATGTGTTTTTTGTGTAAACATTTTATTGTTCGTGTTGTGTGTGTGTGTGTGTGTGTGCGCGTGCCACACATACACAGGTCAAGTGTTAGCAGTGTTACTGTGGGAAAACTGCAGGCTGGGTCCCTTGGTAAATGTAGTCCAATCCAGCGTAACCAATGGAGAATCTAACAGACTATTACCTAATCACTGATGTCATGTCTCTGCTCTACATGAGGTTTGACTGACATCACTGCAGGCTGCCACTCTTCAGCAGCCAGAGACCAATGCTAGCTATAGCATCATTAAACTATTAACTGTGTGACAGCCTCATTTTGGAACTGGTTGCCAGGCACTGACGGGAATACGTCCCACATATCAGTCAGACAGTGTGGTTGGTTCTGAAATGTATTGTTCCTTCTCTGAGTTTCTGAGTTTGACCCCGTGTAGGTGGAGCTTTCATGGCTGTTGCTACAAATGCTACACAAGTTTGTCTTTGGTTTATAGCAAACAAAAACAAACATAAAGATCTTTTTTTTTTTATCATGAAAGATCTAACAGACGCCAGGGCCGAAAATGTTTGGAAGTCACAAGGTACAAAGTCTGGTTTGTGGTTGCAGGAGCATCAGGCACCTACATTAAACATTGGAAACAAAAAGGTGAATGTGGAAAAATCTATTATCAGACTTTAATAATGGGTATGGCCAGAGGCTGGAAAGATGGCACCTCTCATTCCCTTTAAAAGACGTGCTGACAGTTTGGTAAGAGTGGAGGATCCATTGGAGCTTTTCAACGAAGGGAAAATTCATACAGGGACACGCAGCTCAAGTTCAATCAATTATATTTATGTAGCTTAATATCCCAACTTTCCAGGACAGACAGAGATGCAATAGATGTTGTGTGCGGAATAGAGCAACATAGTAAATTTAAAATAAACCTATGTGAAGAATTGGGAAACAACCAGATCTGTGTTGGGAGCTTCAATTTACTCTCAAGGGCGTTCCAGAGATTCCTACTTTTAATCCATGTCACTCAATGTTTCGAAACTCTGGAGGCTGAAAATGATCTGCATTTATAAAAAGAAAAAAAAAAAGTATTTGCAATCTGTGTGTGCATGTCTCCGCCAGTTCAGGCAATGAAAATGGCCTGGTTGACCAAACCACGACAGTGTTGTAATGTGTGCTGGATTGCCAGTAACACTTCCCCTATACTGCTGCTCTTCTCCCACAAGAGAATAAAAGGATTCTCATCAAGTCATAATGCACTGTCGTATACTTTGTTTATGCAACTTTGAGGCGTTCTGCTGTTTCCTTTTGCCTTTCTGGAGATGCAGCCTGCTTCTCCAGCTGCAGTTGAAGTGGATTCATAATCAGACTAAACTGATGGAACTAAACTAAACTGACTCTGGACCCTTTAAATGGGATTTCATTGTCAGTGCTCTTTGATGGAGACATTTATCTGAGTCAAACACCCTTTTCTCTGTCTTCCTCTCTCCTCACCCCCCCCCCTCCCTTACACTGTGTTCTGCAGAGAGTCCTGGATCTGTGAGAGAGGCTCTGCAGGTTCGTCAATGTATAACTTGAGGCCCCATCTGCACCAGACTAGATTTTAAGATTTACGAAAGTATGCCAATCGTAGAGCCATTTAATCTTTAACTGGAGCTGGTTCAATAAAATTCCACTCACGTTACCGTGATTGGGTTTTACGTGACTCTGGGAGCTGTGCTGAAACAGCTCCTGCAGGGTCGTCCGAGAAAATTGGTTCCAGGTGAGTGGGCAGAGTAAGAGTGACCCCTATGGACCAGTGTCCAAATTCCCCGGAACAGGGACCCTGGGATTCCCTTTAACCTCCATCATACATTGGGGTGGTTTGTAGGTATAGTCTGTACGTTCAGACTGAAACTGGCGAGAGCAAAAAAAATGGCTTTGGCTACCCTGAAAAGGACGCTGATGAAGTCTGTGGGTGCTCTAACGTTACAGTGATTCATAATGCTTGGTCTTGCAAACCGTTTTTAAAGGGCCCACAAAGCAAACAGGCATGTCAGCTGCTATGTTTGTGCCAACTGACAAGTTAGTCTAAAGTTAGCCAAATTAATTTTTTTTTTTAATTAGCAACATTAATGTTACTGACCGATTGGCATCAAGTTCTCAAGCAACACTGCTTTGCATGCTATGGGGCTAGATAGCATTTCCCTATTCCCTCCTATTTTCACAAAATTTATTATAGCTACTCTTTGTCAACTCACCTGGATCACATGCAATGTCATTTGTTCATGCATTTTTAATTTTTTTTTTAAAAAGTCTGTAGGGACAAGGGACAAGTCGTTAAGGATGGGGGAAACACGAGACTGCAATTATCAATGTCTCCTCCATTATTATTGGGAACAAATGTTTCGAACTAAAATTTACACAGTTGTGTTCTGTAGTGTTCTCTAGAGAGGATCACTTCTACATTCTGATTGGCTGCCGCCGAACTGCGTCATAGCATAAACGTTTTACTAACGGCCACACGTTGATGTTATGCGCCCACACCGGAATAGACGCACCGTCAACGTCAACGTCAACGCGCTCGCTGCCAAGACACGACTCGAAAATGAACGACTTCCGGTTCAAGTTTGACTTTCTCGACGCATTCGGTCTGAACTTAGAATAAATCTTTTTGGGTGAGTGTCAGCTGTTTTTTGAGTTGCATCTGTTTTGCAAGACTTAATTGTACATAATTTAGTGGAAGCTGTTTCAGTGTTTTGTCAGAATCATCAAACTACCACTAGCTAGCTACCAGCAGTAGCTTTGTTGGACAGTTAGCAATGCTAACTGCATTGCTAGTTATGCCTTACCTTTATCAGAACCAGGATCTGTAATTCCTAAGTGTGTATGTGGTGTTAACTATAAAAAGCTGATCTGATAATAATAGACTAAATGTTAGAACTGAATAAACAAAATATAAACCAATGAAAATACTGTTTTCAGACAAATTGCTAAGCCAAATAAACAACCAATGCTGTGAGAAATTGGTGCATCAATAACAAATACATAAACATCTAAAATTCAATTTCTCTAAAATGACCATAATACATTCTCATTTTAAATTATACTTATAAAAACTAAAGCGCACACACAAACGTGTGCACATACATTAGCACAGTGAGTCATCTGTCAGTAGAGAAGCGTCATGTTGGCCCTGCCAGCTGCTTCACTCATGAATAGTCGAATGAGGAACAACCCCTGCAGAATAATGATGTTTATGCAGGCAGGAATCAGCCAACAATTAACAACAAGCAAACACAGTCATCACACAACACTGACGTGACTGATGTGATGGTTAGACTGACCTTGCCTGTGGACATGCCATAATATATGGTACACATGGGGTCAGTTCGCATTAACTGTGTTTTGTCAGGTCTGTTAATGTGCAGAATAAAGTGAGATGCATTAACAATGTAACATTGACAGATGTAAAGAAATGAATCAAGATTTTTTTTTTGTCACATTGCCAAGTGAAAACATTCAGCCTGTTACCAGTAAGCTGTATGATGGCGTAATAGGGCCACTGTACGTAAGAAAAGAAAATGGAGCTGGGAACTACATTTGAACAGAGCTATTCAATATTCTGCTGCACACTCACTCAGCATTTCTATTAATGAATCAAAACTTTGGAATGCAACTCGCCCTGTGTCACAGGTGAAGTAACAGCAAGCGCCGCCCCTCACCTGACTCACCTGACACAAACCAGGAAACAGTTTGTTGTTCCTCCGCACAAAAGAGAGATACACAGACTTTAAAACAGATGATCAGATTCACTTTCAGACCAAACTAACAACTTCCTCTGTGAGTCCAGCTACAGAAGAGAAGAGTGGGAAACTCCAGCACTGCTGCTTCAACCTGCTGACACACTGAAGGTGAGTTTGACAAAGAACCAGGCTCAAAGTAAAAGTAAATGTCAGTGAAGTTAAGCCATGACTGACTGTACTTTTTGTCTGCTGTGTTTTCAGTTTCTCTCGGAGACGAAATGAATTTCAGGCCAGAGGAGGGTCTCTGCTGTCTGCTCTGTTGTGACATCTTCATAGATCCTGTTCTTCTGCCCTGTAGCCACAGCTTCTGTAAAGACTGTCTGAAGAGCTGGTGGAGAGAGAAACTAACACGACACTGTCCAGTTTGTAAGAGAAGAGCTCCAAAGGCCGTCTTACAGGAGAGAGAGCAGAAATCTTCACAGACATTAAAACTTCTCTGTCTTGACCATCAGCAGTCAGTCAAACCCGTCGATGAAGTTGCAGATGAATACAGGATGGAACTTCAGGAAACTCTGGAGCCCTTGAAGGAAAAGTTAAGGGTTTTTAGACAAATTAAAGGGAAGTTTGTTCAAACAGCAGAACACATTAAGTTCCAGGCCCAAGACATAGAGAGGCAGATTAAGGAGCAGTTTAAAAAGCTTCACCAGTTTCTAGAGGAGGAAGAGAAGGTCAGGATGGCTGCAGTGAGAGAGGAAGAGAAGCAGAAGAGTCGGATGGCGATGGGTAAGATAGAGGCTCTGAGCAGAGAGATAGCAGCTCTTTCAGACACAGTCAGAGCCACGGAGGAAGAGCTCAGAGCCGAGGACATCTCATTCCTGCAGAACTACGAGGCTGCAGAGGAAAGAGTCTGGCGGTTCTCCCTGCTGGATGATCCAGAGCTGGTCTCAGGAGTTCTGATAGACGAGGCCAAACACCTGGGCAACCTGACCTTCAACATCTGGAACAAGATGAAGGATACTATGGTCTCTTACACGCCTGTGGTTCTGGATCCAAACACTGCTCAACCAGGACTCAGTCTGTCTGAAGATCTGTCCCGTGTGAGACGAGGGCAGAAACAGCAGCTTCCCGACAATCCAGAGAGGTTTGATACTCACTCGTCTGTCCTGGGCTCCGAGGGCTTCGTCTCAGGGACTCACAGCTGGGATGTGGAGGTTGGAGACAGTACAGACTGCCTGGGCGTGTTAGCAGAGTCTGTCCGTAGGAAGGGAGACATACTGTCTGGATTATGGATAATATGGTTCTGTGGCGGTAAATACTCAGCATGGTCACCCTCAGCTCCGGTCACTGATCTCCCAGTGCAGCAGAAGTTCAAGAGGATCAGAGTGAAACTGGACTGGGACAGAGGAAAGCTGTCTTTCTCTGATCCTGATACGAACACACACATACACACCTTCACACACACTTTCACTGAGAAGTTGTTTCCATACATTGAAACTCTGCATAAACTCCCAGTGAAGATCTTACCACTGAAGGTCTCTGTGACAGTGGAACATGGATGATTATATTTTTAATGTTTATTTCTTAAAGGGGAATATAATATATATGTTATGTCACAATATTTTTAGGCTAAGTCACGATACACAATATATCTTGATATTTTTAAATCTTCCTGAAAGCATTTCATATAGGCACGATTTAACCCTTTGGCGCATAAAACCACAACAGTGTGATGATACTAATCCCTGCAATGTTTACATTTAGCTTTTTTGTTTTTGTTGATGCTGTTTCATGTTTGAGATCCAAAAAAAAGAAAAAAACAAAAATATTAATAACTGCATGTTTGGACAGCTAATCATTGTTTAGATTAAACAAACTTTATTTACTTATTTATTTATCTTATTCTAGTCCAGACATGAAATTTGATTCATGTTTACTTACAGATATGAAATATATACAGTATAGATGCACAGAATCTACACATATGGAATGATCCAAAATATACTATAAACAGTTTTCTATTTGATGTAATGAAGGCAAGATGTTTCTGTTGGTAAAACCTTTCATTCTTTCATCCCCTACAACAACAAGAAAGTTTATTTCAGTTTATACATTTAAATTGATCATAAATGCTGTTTATGTCATGTTTTTCATGATGATAATGAAATATTGTCTTGACTTGGTGTCATATTCTGCTTCTCTGCTTAATGTTAAAGGTCTCCTGCGTCTGACAGAAATGCAAATATACAATAGGCTAGTTCATATAAAAAGTGACAAAAGTCTACAGTTTTACCTGCCAGCCATCTTGTTATTGTCCGTTTCTGTTGTGTCGTCACCATCTGTTGGACTTGACCAGTGAAGCTGGACATGCTTGATGATAGACTTAATTTAATCCTTGTTTTCTTAAAACAGTGGAACAGAGTGGCTTAAGAAGTCTGGTAACACTTTGGATTACTGTGACAGAGAAGGCCTCGAGTCCAGTCTTGAAACCACTCATCTGATTCACTTCAAACTTGGACCCAAGGAAGTGCAGTGTCGAATGTTCAGTTTTTTTGATGTCGAGAAAGCTTCAAACATCGCTTTTCGACGCGTTACTTCACGTGAAGAAAGAAATGAACTCAGATGTATGACCAACATGTAGAAAAGCAATATTTGAAGCTTTCTTTAAGTCGATCGGAGGAGCTGTTGTCAAGAAAATCCAAATCCAAATTTGCAATTTGGACAAACTGAAAATATTTTTTCCTTTGACGTGCATCTAAAGTCAATTATATATTCATTTTTAGACCATGAAATTATTCATACTGTCACAGTTTAGAAAGCTACTAAACTGCCTCCTAGTGGCTCCTGTCCCTGTCTTCTACTGACAGTACTTAAAGGTTTAAAGGACTCACACTGTTCAGAAGTGATAAAGGACCCAGTGTGGATGTGCCCGCTGTCATCAGCCTGCAGTCAGGTCAGAGTCCCAGCAGGGTGGAGCTGCACGGGGGGAGAAGATTAGGAGTGTATGGTCTCTCTGATCCTGCTATAATGAGTCTGCCTGGGAACAGATGATTCATTACTGCTGCTGGAACAGTCGCTCTTTCAGATTTCAGGTTTATCTCAAAGTCTAAATACTGTATGTGTATGGTTATTGGGACAAAACTGGTTTAGGAAAATATTTTAACTGGAATGCATTGTGAAGAATCATATGGAATTACCTGCTAGCTTTGCACTTGTCTTCATGAAAATGACCATTTGTTAAATCTGTATAGGTGATTGAACCAGAAGATACAATTTTTAACACAATTAATTAAATATTTAAAGTTTTTTGATTTACAAAAATGAATGAAGTATATGAAGAGTAAAGTTATGATTTGTGGTTAAAATTTAAATAATTAAATAGTTAAGTTAATATCTTTTTCTATTGTTTTCACTTTTATATGGAGAGAAAATAATTAAAATGTGATTTAATTTAAGATAAAGTCAAAAGGACAATAACATCAGAGACATTTTCTCATCATGACATGTCAGAGATCTCTTTTGTCCCAAACTAAACCAGTGTCACGTCTACTTCAAGAAGAAAACATTGAAAAACTATTTCATAAAAGCAGCACGGGATATGAAAAACTACATTTTTCAGCAGCAGAAATTTGACCGCAGAGAGACAGTATTCATTGAGCTGTAATCGTGTTGCCTCCACAGAGATGAATGTCTCCTCCACATGACGACTGACAGGGAGGGAGGTGGCTCCTGCTGTGCCGTGGCCAAACCAAACTGCAGCCCGGCTCCCCGGCAGCCCCGCAGAGGCCCATATATCTGACGTGACTGTGTTTGGCTTACATCTCCAGGTAGTTCATATACACCATAAATATACATGGGAGCACATGCACACAGGCAGGAGTGCAAGGTAGGATAAAGTACAGAAAAAGTTTGTGTAAATCTTGGCTCACTTTATGGTAGATACTATTCAATAGACATACACATTCTATACACTAATTGGACACGAGTCTGTTGTTTGGCGAGGTTACAAAAATTAGAAGATGTAGTTGTATTTATTGTAATCTGGTGAAATGATAAAACAGTTTATACAGTATAACTTGATATATAAAAATGAGGTAATATTACATTAGGCCACTAGATGGCAGCAAAGGATCAGTCCCACTCGCTTCAGTCATAAGTACACAGACACACACTTTTCAAACAGGTACACATACTGTACACTTTATTTATTTATGGGAAATTATGAAACAATGAAGACACAGCTGAAAAGTTTTTTTTTTTCTACATACATAGTCGAACTTGCAAAGTTTAAAATCTTAACAATTTGAAGCCAGTTGAAATAATATATCTGGTCAAAAGTATGTGGACAATGATCATTTAAACCAATACTGTCCTGGAATCGTCCAATAAAAAGTGTCTTTCCTCGTTTGGTTTAAAAGAACTTGACGACCCTGACCTCAACTCCAACACCTTTGAGATGAACCAGAACACCAAATGTGATCCAGGTCTTATCACTCAACATCAGACCAACCTCACTAATGCTGTTATGGCTGTGATGGGGGCAAATCCTGCAGGCAGTTTTAAAACCTGGTGGAACGCCTGAAACCAGACGAGGGGGTAATGTTGAAGCAGCTACATATGGGTGTAATATGTGGGTGTCCATATGTTTTTTTTTTTTTTATATATATATTGTTTCATGATGAATTTCTGCAAAGGAAAGGAGATCACCAGTGAAAAAATGGTGAATATTCAGATCATCGCGCCATCTGCTGGTTCAAGTCTGATACAGTTTTGAGGAAAAACTTTTTTTGTCAAAAAATGTTCAGTCAAACTTATACCACTCACTCGCTGAGTAGTTTTTCATCCGCAGCTTTTCTCATATTCAAACAATCCAGTTGCTCAAAGAACCAAAGCCTACACATGCACAGTATGTCTCTGGTATGTTTATAAACTGGCACCCCAGCTATGTGAACATTACAAAGGTGATGATTAACAATTAGCACTTGTAAAGGTGTCATTGAAACCACAGGGATCACACCCTTAGATGTTTGCCTGCATTTATAGAGAAATCAGCTAAGGTCATACATCACACGGCCGAAATTATGTGGACACCCAAATATTACACCCATGTGTTAATGCTGAACATTTCAATCCAAGACAGAGGGCATTAATTTGCTTTTAAAACATCTGTACTCTTATGGAAAGGTATTCTTCTACTCCAGACTGGGTTAAGCTTTTTCTTCACTGGAACTAAGGGGCCTCGCCCAAGCCATCAAAAACAACCACAAACAAAACAAAGTATGTGAACAGGGGTGTCCAAATATTTTTAGGTCATATATTATATATATATACTCTAGACAAGGTACCCATGTTTCCAAAGATCTTAAATACTGTACTTGAGAGCGATATACTGTATGTGATAATTGCAATTGTTTCCTTTAAAGCCAGAAAACTCAAAAGAGCTTGAAATAGCAGTACTGAGTTTTTCCCTGTTTTACCAACATGAGCACAAAAAACAGCCGTGGTCTCCTCGACCTCTAACTTTGAGGTGACTGTTAGCTGAGGATGGACAGGACAAGGCTGCTGTCCTTCCTCTGCCGTCAGACCTATATTTCTCTGAAAGCACGGCACAAGTGGGTCTAAAACCACTTAAAGACAATGAGGGAGGGAGGGTGGCAAGGGGTGCGGAGGTGGAGAGGTGGGGTGGGTGGCACCTGGTGGGACTGAGAGCTGCTGCACTCTCTCACCTTTTTCATCAATGAAAATGGAGGATGGCAGAGCGCTTGCGTTATGATGGAGCACTTAGTCTGCGGATCCAAAACATAAAAGGGAAAGACGAATGCACTTCATACTCCAACACTTGGAGACAAGACAAGAGTGGCTGTGATGGCGTGGTGGTGGTGGTGGTGGTATACAAGGCAGAGGTGGTATTGATCAGCAGTGCGTGTTTTTATATACACTTCAACACTGCTGAACCTAGCACTCTGCCTGCGAAATATAGGCACTGTCTTCCTCAAGGACACTTCTGTGGTTTTCCCATCAAAGTAATAAATTGGTTTGTATAGACGGAGGAAAATCTCACTTCACTTTTTACCCCTATAACCTCACAACCAGGGTGAGCTGAATTTATTTTCTGTAAACATGATAATTAGATGATAACACATAACAGAGAGATACACTGTTATACCCCTGTTTGACAAATTGAAGGAAAAACATTAATAAATGGGCGAACACAGTGATTGATATACTGTGACCTCTCTCAACTAAACTTAACACCTATGGGCAATTCTGTCCTGCCCTGTTAGATAGTTCTCTCAGCCTCCATCATCAAAACACCAAATTAAGGGAAGTTTTTTTTTGAAGAAAGTTGTTCATCTCTCCAGTAGAGGTCAGAGACTTTATAAATATATGCTAACTGGATATATGCTTGTAATAGCAGCTTATGGTGGCCCAACACCTTACCATGACACTTAAGAGAGCTATTTCTAAGTTTTGCTACTGCTACATAGCTAGGGTTAGCATTAGCAGCTGTTTAGCGACTCACTGTAGCTTCCAGTCTGCTCTAAAGACATAGCTCTGCTCAGAGGGAATAATATAAACTCTTGTCTTGTAAACACAATGGTATCAACCCTGTT